TAATCCTATGCATTATGATCGTACTAAACATGTAGAGGTGGATCGACACTTTATCAAAGAGAAGATTGAAGACGGGACTATTTGCATTCCTCATGTAGCTTCAGCAGAGCAGGCAACAGACATTCTAACTAAAGGATTGCCAAGACCTCTTTTTGAGGAGATGACTTACAAGCTAGGATTGTTTGATGTATACAATCCAGCTTGAGGGAGAGTGTTGAAGATCATCCCATCTCCGGTATCCTTAATATCCGGGAGATTTGGGGGCAGTTAAGGGTTGATTTAGTCAATCCTATTTTTTAGAGAATAAAATCAGGGCCTTATTAATTTTAGTTATTTGTTTCCTGATTTGTTGCTGATTTGTTTCCCTAGTTTGTTGGGATAGTTTCTAACCAGAATATGGCTATAAATTTTAGGTCTTTTTCTGTATGTTAATATTGATTCTAATAAGAAATTCTGAGCAGTGTTTCATGGTTTTCTTCTCCGGTATCTTTTCTCACAGGGTTAAGATTTGTTTGACGACTTTTCAAAATCTTTGCTTATTCCTGTACCAATCTTCCGGCCAACCTAGTGACTAAAAACATTTCCCAGTTATGGTTGTTGTCTATTTAAGCTTACCTGGGGCACATATGTTTTACTAGTAAAATTTCACTAATGTAATCACTTGGAAATTGGATGCACTCCTGTTCACTAAGATTACATGGAAGCTTATGTTTTGGGAACCGAGTAAAAAGAAACACAACTCTTTCCTTGAGATCTCTGCTTGGAAAGAAAAAAGTTAATGCATTAAATAAATAGAAAAAAGAATTCCTAATTACTATCCTTCTTGCATTTGTTCATATAATTGACCATAATCATTTTTTAGGCTTAGCCTTAATTTCCTCTGTAGGTACCTTTAAGACATCGTATAAGACCAAGTTGTACTGATTGATATTCTAAAACACATACAATTCTTCTCCTTTCTGAATCCAAGTTTTCTAACATTTTTGTTATTAGTAGTAGTGCTGGTAATATTGAGAATCCTGTCTTTTCAGATTATTATCAAGTGTGCATTCCCAATAAATGCTACATTTTAGAAATTATCTGCAAGACTTCCCATTCATATTGAGGATGAAAATGAAAATAGCTAGTTTTTGCAATTACCCTAGGTCTATAACAATACACAGAAATATGGAAGCACTATTCTACTGAATATTTTGGCATGATAGTTCTGTTAATCATTTCATAGGCCTTATTTGATCCTTATAATTGATCCTTTGAGTACCTCAGCTCTGTGATCAATCATTTTTTGTTACTGTTCCAAAATTATGTTGATTGTACCTTCTTTTGTGTGTTTCTTTTTTTTTTTTTTGAGTGTTTTTTTTGCTTATAGTGAAAGTAGATAAGAGTATCCTTGCTGTTGATAGTGAACTTCTCAACCTGCAAACTTATGTTTCTGGAAGATTGCAGAAGAAGGTATTTCTGTTATTTGGTATGTTTTGGTTTTAAAACTAATGTTTTGAATTCTTTTTGTTCTTTCTGAAAGCTTCTACCAGCAATAAATTGCTTATCTGCTTAATTTGTTCCATACTAAGTGGTTTTTCAACTTGTGCCTCATCTGTATTCTGAATGTGCCAGATTTTACAAAGAATAACATAAAGCTTAGGATTTTACTTACCCTTCAACTTCCATAAATGTTGACTATATTGTCCAAAAAATCTGCTTGCACTTGCAAGAAATAAGGATATACATATGCATTCTGTAGTTCATTCCTTCTGTGTATGATGTATAACTTTGGTTTGTCTCTATATGTTCTTATTTCCTTATGGATTGTTGACCTTTCATAGAGTTTCTGTTTTGGCATTTTGGCCCCACTTTTTGAGGCAAACTTTCCTACCTGGGAATTTATGAGTACACAAAGCTAGGCCCCTACTAAGTGCTAAAAACACATGTGCAATGATGGGCGGTGGAAGAATTGTTTGTGGTAAATGCCAATTTGGAAGTTCTTTTGGTCCACATGTCAAGAACATCCTACAAGCAGAAGAGAAAATTAGTTATGAAAATCAGAGGTGTCCTTTAATCTTTTTGTTTCTCTTCTTCTGTTATTTATTTATTTTATTTATAAATGTCGTCCTGATTTATACTTTATACTTTCCGAGTTTCCCTACTCTGTGTGTGTGTGTGTGTGTGTGTGTGTGTGTGTTGTGTGTGTGTGTGTGAATAATTTAAACGGAGGGATAAGTTATAATTTTACACACTAGTAGTTACTTTTACAGCTTTTGTTAAAAACTAAGGGATTGAAGGGAAGGGATATTTTTTCACCCAAAAAAAATGGAGGGAAGGAATGTGTTGTATCTTTCATGTGTTTTTCGCATGTAATCTCTTGATAGAAGATCCTATTTCGAAGAAAGCACTAGATTTGTTCTTGTGAAGGTTTAGTTTTTGTAGTTTCAAGTGTGTCAATGGCTGATTATACGTGGTATTTTTGTCCTTTTATCATAACATGCACGACATGCACAATCCTGCATGGTTGACTACTGGATTTATCAGATACAACATGAAAATGTTCAATACAATGTAGTTGGAGTGTATAATAACCAAATAAAATTCTCGCTTATTGTAGTTGGGATTATTATGTCCCAAAGCCCTTTTACCTTTGACAAAAAGATGACCCTAATTGTTCGAATTTTTTGTATTGTGCTACAGTTTTTCCTTGACTATCTGCTTGACATGTACCTTAGTTAAATATATGTTTTGCTGTATGAAGACGCTGTATCTTGTAATTCAATTTCTAGTTAACTTCTTAAGTATATTTATTCTCCATAAATTTCAACAGTTTACTGTGTTTTCTGTTAGGAACCTGATAGTTAGTAGTTGTTTTTTAGTAGTGTTTTAGTAGTATAAATAAGAGTCTAGTGGCTAATGAGGGGGAGGATGAGATTTGTAGAGTGTCTAGTGCTATGCACTATTTTGGAGGTCGGGAATCCTCGAAACCGCCCATCTATCCTGTAATTTTTCATTTTTAGTGTTGTTAATGAAGTTCAGATTTTCGGGTTCCTAACAATGGTATCAGAGCACCGATCCATGGCACCTAAACCAGCAGGTCCGGAGAGGGAGAACATGGTGGAGAAGGGGTTAGTGGTGGTCCAAGAGGCAGTCCAAGCGGTGGTGACGGAGAACGTGCCGTAGATCCGTGCGAGGTGGCTTGGCTGCGAGGGAGTATGGGGGAAGGTTCGGACCCAGATGGGTGACTTGCAGGCGGCGCTGCGGCGGATGGAGGCGTTGTTGGAGGCGCGGCCGGTGCCCAGGGTTGCCAACCTGGGCCGCGACGTCAAGTGGCGAGATCGCGCTCATCGGGGTGAAGAGATCCCAGATTGCGATGACCCAGGCGGAGTGGAGGTACCAAATCGGGCCATTCTTCGTCGGGAAGCGCTGATGTGTGAAGGCCGAGGTCACGAGTGGGAGATCGGGCACCGGAGAGACATAGATCTCTTAGAGGCGCGCAACTACCGGCGAGATCTAGGGACGGGAGGCCTGGGTCGGCAGCGAGATGAGCCAGTCGACGGCATAATGAGGGTGGAAGGTGGCCGGGGTTCAGTGGGAGGGGCGGTGGAGCTTGGTCGGCGACGGGAAGTGGAGTGGGAGCCGGAGTTAAAGGAGGAGAGGCTTGCTCGAAGGCTGGGACGGCATGGGTACCCTCGGAACAGGGAACCCGGCCCCGATTCGGTCGCTGTTGGGGCTGATTCCGGCCCGGTTTGGACTGGGCCTCGCGATTCCGGCGTGAAAAGGGCTGGTTCCGGTGCTACGGAGGAAGATTCCGGCAGAATTGGAGTGGGGTCCATGAATTTCGACGCTCTTATGGCTGGGGTTTGTGATTTTGACGCCATTGGGGCTAGCTCCGGCAAGATGATGGCTAGGACGTGGAATTCTGATGCGAAATCCGGCGATTTTGGGGCTGAATCCCGAAATTCTGTTCGGAAGTGGGTTGGGTCTAGTGTTTTGGGTATGGGCAGAGTCAATTTTGGGGTTGGGCCTCGTAATTACAATATTAATTGGCCTAATTCTAGTGCAATGGCAGTCAGGCCTCAAAACTTTAACACGTTTAGGGCTGGGAATGGTACAATTGCAGCTGGGTATGAAGAAATTGGTGAGAGTGAAGCTGAAAGGTTGATGTCCTGGTTGGCTAAGAAGGAAACTCCCTTAGTGAGGATCGATTTGCCCATAGTTTTTGTGACCATTGATGAGCTTGCGTAGAGAGTTTCAAATGAACTAATAGACTTTGTGGTTGCTTTCCGAGATACCAAGAAGACAGAGAAGAAAGTAATTGATTGGCTCCAATTGGAAGATGTGATTTACAGGGATAGCAACAATTCGGACTCTCCAATTAAGGAATTGGCAAAGTCTTTTGTTCTTGATCATTTAGATGTTATTTTTCAATTTTATTTTTTGGTTTTCACCTTGAGGACAAGGTGATTCCTTGGGGCGGGGGTAATGTTAGAAACCTGATAGTTAGTAGTTATTTTTTAGTAGTGTTTTAGTAGTATTAAGAGTCTAGTGGCTAATGAGGGGGAGGATGAGATTTGTAGAGTGTCTAGTGTTGTGCACTATTTTGGAGGTTAGGGGTCCTCGAAACCGCCCATCTATCCTGTAATTTTTCATTTTTAGTGTTGTTAATGAAGTTCAGATTTTCGGGTTCCTAACATTTTCTTAAACTTATTCCTCAATACTTTTTTTTTGGGTGCAAAAATAAGCATATAGGTGAAAATTATTCTGGTTAATTAGAGAACATGTTTGAGACACTCAGTAATTTTATATAAGAAATATATGTACAACTATTATTGGCCTTACCACTTCAGTTTGTGACAACAAATTTAGAAGTCCTACACCAACATCCAACATCATGTGATGGTTACTTTTTATTCGGTAATTTCACATATTGTTGCCATACTGGTCATTTTACAGAAATATTGAAGTTTCTTTCAAAGAACATGTTCAAAGAACAAGTCCTAACAAAAGTGGTGGCTCTTTCCCTGGATGGTTTTTATCTTTAGTAGCTGAAATACAAGAGCAGGCTGAAGGTTTGGGTTTTCATTGGAGGATAACTTGTTCATGGGATTTTCGAGGGAAGCCCATCTGGAGCGGTCAACAGTTGCAATCTGTTACAAATTTGATAATATATTAAGAGTGTTAATAGTCAAATTTACTACTTCATAACAGCTGTTTATAGAAAGTTGATAAACATATATAGTTTCAGTAGATAGTAGATACCCTAGTTTCATTGCTTTTGCTGGTGTTTCATTATTCTGAGGCTGAGACTCTGGCTGTGGCTGGCTTAATTGGAGATTGACGGATGCACGTGCATCATGTCCATTGCCAATACTGTAGGTGAGGTTGGAACTTCTGTTTTCTTCATTACGATCGCTTGTTTCATAGGCCTAAGAATTCACCATAGATTAAATGTCTATTTTACTGGTACCAAGATAATAATTTCAACATTACTTCTTTGTTTTATCTCAAGAGAGCTCTCTTAACCCCACTACATTCCTATCTACCTACTGATCTTAACCCCTGACCTTGAAGAGAGAAAAAGAGATTGCAGATTAATAGGTTTTCTTGATGATAAGTGAAGTAGTCTAAACATTACCTTCCTTTGCAGTTCCACATTTTCTTTGTGGATGAGTTCTACCTTCGTATAGAGTTCTACATTCTCTTGATGAATAAGATTTCCCTGTATAAATTCGACATTAGTTAGACGATAAGTGTGAATTAGTCCTGAATGAAACTGAAGGAAGCAAGCAAATCTTGTTAAGAGTACCTTCCGGTTTAGGTCTTTTATTTCATCAGTTAGTATTTGCTCCTGCAGAGAAAAGAAATGTCAAGTGTTAAGAATCTCCTATAAATGTAGGCGAAGGTTCATAAATGGTATTAGGAGATTTTGAAGAGGGCCAAGGATTTCATTACCTTCTTGGTACGGACACCTTTCAAACTCATTTCTAGTTGGTTTTCTAAATTTTGTAGATCTCTGACGCTCAAACCAGACAGTTCTTCCCCCATTAACTGTCTGCATGTATCATGTAAATCATACTTTATGGTGAGATAGATACCATGACTATCATCATTGCATCATTTTGTATTCTCTATGTAATATAATTTTTTTGAATGGTTTTTTAGGGTAATATTGATAATTTTTGAATTGTTAACATTAAAATGAAGAGAAGAAGGAAAGAGAAGTAGAATTAAGAACATCAAAAGTTGGTGACAAAACCAGCCTCAATTACATTATAACAGATGACAAGCTGATCAATCAATGCGACGAAGCATTTAATCTAGTAGTGTCAATATATTCCAATTATCGTACTGACTTTTGTTTACTAACTGATGTGACTGTTTTTTGGCGCATATAATTTTGCAGGGATCTGATTTCTCTGTAGGTTAGAAAGTTGCTATATCGGTGGATACATAAAAGCATCTAAATAAAGGTGATGTCGTAGTATTTGTTATCCGTTAACTTGTCTTGCAAATTGCTTTATGTTTGAATGGCGAGTCCTAGTTCTGATTTTTAGTACTGCTGTTCCAACTCTTAGATATTGTGAAAAGGAAAATCAAGTGATTTACCTGTGACTTTCTTGCAAATATTGCAGTTGTTGCCTCAGAGTTGCAGCTTCCCTTTGCCAAAACTAACAAGTCAAGAACATAAATCAATCTTCTGCAATAAGTCTATATAGAATGAGTAAAGTAACACACCTTAGAACATCTCTAATGCAAATGCTTATGCTAATTGTATATTTAGCATCAAAAAATATGATATGGTATGTTATTTTATTTTTGCTTCAATGCATAAGGCTATTTGAAATGCTAAATCAACATTTTCTCGTAATCATTAAGTTTTAAAAGTTGAACAAGTAAATTTTTATTTTTAAAATAATTAGAAAATGCAAAAATTACAATGATTACATGACAAAGTAAACATTTTATCCAATAACAATCAAATGCTAAATTTCCTACATGCTAAATTTGGTGGGGAATTTGTTACAAAGTATAGCATATGAGAAATTTAGCACAACAAATGGTATCACATTTGAGAGTATTTTATGCATTCAAATGTTAAATTTGTAATTGGCACATCAATTATAGTATTGCATCGGAGATGCTCTTATAAGTTAACCATTAGCATTGAAAAAGCATAAATGTTGACGTGCTCCCTCCTGGTAGTAGTAGCGTCGCGTTGTGTTTTTAATGTTGTTTTATGTCTGAATGAGAAATCTAAATATGGTTTATGGTATGGTATTGAAAAAATACCCTACTTTTTCATTATGATGTGAATATATATCCTATGTAAAATGTCCGATCTATGTAAGACGTAGTTTTAAAGTTTCTTCCTTATTGAACTATTTTAGAATACAGATAGTTACAGAGAAGAAAAGTAATAAAGCTGTTAAAAGAGGATATAATGGTCCAACGAATCAAAAAACCAGTCCAAGGTCAACGTTAGGTTTATAAATAGTGCCTGGCCAAACAACGAGCAAGGATGGGAAGGTCTTGTTATAGACTTATCTAATGTTTGATCTGAGCCAACATATAAGTTTTTGATAAATCAATTTAATTTATCAGAATAACCGTATAATGAACTGTTATTTGTAATCTTTTGTTGAATATGTAATGGCTCGAGTTTCAGAACAGTGTATGGTTTTAATATTTTGTGTCCTAATTTTCTAAGAAAGATGCTATTTTTTTTTAGGTAAGAAGTAGACTGGATTGTTTTCTTTTTTTTTTTTCCTCAAAAGAAATAGACTGAGATTGAATACGAGTGATATTGCTTATAAAATACAGATTATTTCCAGATCATATTACTTGCATTTTGGAACATAGGGCATTAATGTGTATTGGACTGAGGAAGCATATAACATCAAGGAATAAGAAGTCACATCCTAATTAAGTTAGCATTCATCTTATCTTAGAACACCTCCTATAGAATGTCAAATTTCTATCCCAATATCGAGTCAAACATTTGGGGAAAGCAATGCTATACTTGATAAATTAGGACATGCTATTGGTTTCAAATATAATACTTAGACCATTTTCAATGTAAATGTTAATACTAATTGTATATTTAACATTAAAAAGTATGATATGGTATGTTATTTTCATTATGTATGGGATGCTATTTGAAATATCAATTTATTTTTTCTCATAATCATTGAGTTTTAAAATGTGTAGAAGTAGACTTGTATTTTTAAAATAATTAAAAAATGCAGAAGTCGCAATAATTACGTGAAAAAGTAAATATTTTAACCAATAGCAAAAAAAGGTCAAATTTCTCATATGCTATATTTAGTGAGAACCATTTGGAGAAATATGCTAGAATGACTATCCAACAAAGTGAAATTAGCAAAATGACCTTCTTCATTTTTTATGAAAAAGGACCACCTAATCATTTTTTGTAAAAAGTGGTCATTTTACAAATAAAAATTTTTAAAAAGTTATTTTACTAATAAAACTTTTCTATTGAGTTATTTTTACAAAGACCTCATAAATTTGTTAAAAAGTAAACATATGAGAAATTTAGCATGACAAATTTAGCACAACAAATAACATTGTATTGAAGAGTGTTTTTTGCACTCAAATATTAAATTTGCAATTGACACATTATATTGGAGATGCTCTAAAATCATCTACAATATAAATGGTAATGCCAATAGTATATTTAGCTAAAAAAATATGAGAAGACGTGTTATTTTTATTTGGGCTCCAATTTATAATGATATTTCAAATGCTAAATCTATTTTTTCTCATCATTATTAAGTTTTAAAAGTTGTAAAAGTAAATTTTTACTTTAAAGTAATTCGTTAATGCAGAATTTAATTATTAAATGAAAAATGTAACATATCAATAAATAACAATTCAATGTTAAATTTGTCACATATTATATTTAATAAGAAATTTACCACAGAATATATCATATGGTAAATTAAACATAATACATGGCATTGCATTTAATAGTGTGTTTTTACCATCAAATATTAAATGTACAATTGAAACATTAATTATAGCATTATATTATTAAATATGTTCTAAGTCTGCATATGCCAACTTTTGGTGTATGTTTCTTGCTTAATGTGTTATTTTCTTTCTTACTAATTAGAATGTTGACACTTTTTATTCATAAATATTTAAAAAATTTGTTTTACAAGTTTTAAAGCTTAAAATTGATGAAAAATTAGATATAACATTGAAAACAATAATATGCATTGGAGCATAAAATCGGACCATTTCCAAAACAAATATAATGTTAATGTTTATTTGTCACAAATAAGTGAATGTACAACTGTTATTTTAAAAGTTAAATTTACTTTTTGTCATATATATATATACTGAAAGTAACAATATTATGATCATTAAATGACAAGTCATGCTAAATTTTATACAAAGCATAGCACGTGTCAAATATAGCACCTAAAGTCCATTTCACTGGAGCATAATTCTTATCTAAATAATATTTTAGCATTAATACATTAATTTGGCATTGCGTTGAAAAAGCTTTAAAGGCATTATGTTTTTATTTTTTATTTTTTTTTTTGCGTTGATGGTAGTAGTAGTTATATGAGGGTCTTTGATTGCACTATTAATATCATCACTAAAACATCCCCCCCTTTTTTTTTTTTTTTTTTTTTTTTTTTTTCTTACAAGAAATAGAATATAACAGTACAAAGGAGAAATAGTCAGTAAACGAGAAAAGACTTACAAAGAGCTAAAAATATGCTAGGGCTAGTTTGAGATTACATTTAAAGTCCTTAAAATTACTTCCTGCAATGTAATTAGTGTATTGGATAAAAGTGCACAAAGTTACTTCCTGTGATAGTGACAATCGGTTGAGTCATGTAGTGTAAAAAGAGAGGGTAAAACTAGAAAGGGCAAGTTATGCGTTTTTCTTAATTTGCAGAAGGTGATAAGCGAAATTTCGTAGTAAGGACACTATCACACAATGCATTTAAGCGAAATTCCATAGTAAGAACACTATAACACAATACATTTAGAAGGGATGAGTTGTTATATTTTGCACAAATAACAATCTACTTTTACATTATTTTTGAAAATTAGTTTATCAGCTTTTGATTTTCTCTTCTAAAAATTGTGCTTCTTCCAAAAGCATAATTCCAATCCTAGCCACAATTTATATGTTAAAATGACATTATCCTTATGCAACTAATTGACTGTTGATCAAAATTTCATTAGAATACTGTCAATATTTTCAAAAACATAATAAATGAACCTTAAACAACTCTAAAACTTGTTTTCAGTTTTCACTATTTTGACATATACTTTGTTAATGCATGTAGAATTAAAAAACCTGTTGCCTTTACCTTATTAATGTATGTAGAATTAACAAATTCTTACGCCTTTTTTTCCCATAAAATTGTACCTTGACTTCTGACGCAGGATTCAAAAGTTGATTGTGCTCTTCTTTCGCTTTGTTGTAACGTTCAATCACAGTTTTCATGCTGATAAAAAGCCGTATTATTAGACAAAATTACGAATATTGACAAAACATGTATTAATGTAACATAAATGTCATAATAGGAAATTTGAGAAAAAAAACAATTGATATATATGGTAGGATGAATAGCTGATAATATGAAATATTGACATGGTTTTTTAAGTTCTTATGTGTATGTAGTGAGAGGTCAAAGTGACAAACAACCAAAGTGCGATTAATTTGCATGAACTGAAAAAAAAAAAAAAAAAAAAAGAAGGAATGATTTCGTTTCCATCTAGTCATGTATTTATTTATAAAATCAGCAATGAGAGTTTAGTGGGCTGCACACAATATAAATAATGATCAAAAGAAAATATCAGTGCTTAAATTTTCCTTGGTATTGTTTCTCTATCAAAAGGATGATTGCAAAATTTACCAAGATACGCTTAAAATTCACATTTCCTAATTCAATTACTATTTAACTATGTAAAAACAATTGCATTAATAAGATTACTATTTCTAAGTTTAGTTAACCCTAGTAAAATAAAGAAAAGAAATCAATAATCCTCACTCCTATTATTTTACTTTTCTTTTCAATTTCATTTTCTTTGCGGTTCGAAAATCGAGCCCTTGGTCTATAATATTAATTCCCCCTCCACCACAGCTTATGTCGTCAATCAATCGTTTAACTTATTTTTTAGTGCTCTAAGAAGCAAAACGTACTATGATCACCTGTTCCTCATCTGAAGCCTATATAATAAACTATGTGACCGCTGTAATAATAATTGGGCCATGAGTGTTGCAAAAGAAAGTCCTGCATGAAGCATACTTAGGGCTGTTCATAGATTGAGTTTGTGCGGGGTAGGATTTTTTCTTCCCCCGCTCCAAAGGGTGCGGGTATATGCTGCACACTGCTATCAACTACTATTTTGTTAGAAATCAACTTTCTGAAGGAAAGCCTCGTGTCTCCTATATGTCAAGGAAAAATTTTGCTGAGGCATTTCCAAAACTTCTCTATATCTAATGGTTTTTCTATCTTGAGTTTAAAACTGTTATTTTCAAAACCACCATACGTAGAAACAAAAAAAAACAAAAAAACAAAAAAAAAATTCTACATAAATTTAAATACTCATCCATTATAAAAAAAAAAAAAAAAAATTATCACTCTAGCTATCAACCCATCAACTAGTCCCTTATAATATGTGCCATGAGTAACTAAATTCTAATACATTTTATATCATATACTTTAAGTTGGGACTTTCTTCAATTACATGTATAAGAAATAATGATGTTTAGGAGATGAAAAATGCTTTTATCCCCATGGGAATTTATCCTCACTGCTAAAATAGTGGGGATAAATCCACATGGGGTAAATACAACTGCTCTTAGAAGATTGATCAACGACACAAAAGTGCCATTTGAATTTTATTTTATTTTTTTCCTCACAATTTCATCATATGGTTTTTCATGAAGCTCAATACTATGCTTGGCCAGTCAGTTCTGTTCAAACAACTGAAGTTCCTCGTCATAACAAAACTACGTGGAATACAACCATAATCCGGAATATTGGAACAACCTAAAGTAGTTCAAAAGTTCAAACAGATTCAAAGGACTATATAATGATTGTTGGATGTATATGTTAAAGGATCGTGTAATGATTGTTGTATATATGTGTGTGTGTGAGTAGGAGGTTGAATATTTTATTTTCCTCTTTTCTCACGGACACCCTTGTATGTAAAAAGACCCTAAAAGTTTGAAATTTGATTCAAATTCCTTCCCTTAGTTGGTTTGATTATTTTGAACAATTATATGATTTCCTATATTCTCCCTACTAAAGAATATCAACGCTTAAATTGTATGCTACATTACATAAATCCAAACATCTCATATCTTTTTGATAATCTCATCTCTTTTTAACAATTCTTCCATGCTTTTTTATCACAAACACATGTTCGAGAAGTGTGCCAATTTTACACCAGATTCAATGCGTGCTCTACGTGATTGGTGACGTTTTTACACCATTGACACTAGAAGGGGAGGGTGTGGGAGAAGAGAGAGGGAGAGAGAGAGAGAGAGAAAAAAAAAAAAAGAAAAAGAAAAAGAAAGAGAACCGAGGAATTGTTTGGATTTAGTTAGAATATAATTTCAATGTTCCTATAATATTGTTCATGAATAAATTTGCATGTTATGTAGTTTTTGCCATATTCACCAATTTGGAGAAATATTTGGAAGTGAGAGTAAATTTTAAGGTTTTTTGCTTTTTAACTTCTTATTAGACAAGTTATCAGTGAATGAAAGACGTATATACTTGAGATAATTACCTTCTTAGAACTGTAGATTTGGGCATCACGCTAGTTTACACAAATGAAAAACGACAACAAGATGGTTCTAATAGAGGTACCCTATATGTAAAAATCAAGCTGAAGGTAATTGAGATTTTGTTTCATTTTTGAGAATTGAGACTCACAACTTAGGTAGAGAAATTAGAGTAATAAACTATTATTAATAAAACAAACTGCTGCATCTTTAATATCAATGTTTTCATTTTCTCTATCATACTGGCACCGTTGATAAAATTCTATTAATCTATACAAACGATCAAACATATACCTATAATTCAATGGAAGTTTTTATTTGGAGTGCAAGATATAGATAATCTTCCAGTACTACTTTCTTTTGGTTGGCATAGTCGTAAAACCCAGATCTAGTTAAACTACAGATGGTCTTTAATTAATTAGTGATTAGTACGTAAGACTTTAGACTACATTTTATTTATTGTAATCACACATCTAATGAGTTTGATGCAACAATTAAAGCAGGCTTAAACCATCCACCAAAATATATACTTCATCAAAATGAAAGTAAAAACGGTACAAAAAATTATATATAAAAGAATCTAATAGTCAAGAAACTAGACGAAAGAAGTTACGTGGTTTTTTATTTTTTATTTTTTTTTATCACTCTTCTTGTTCGAAAATATTTAACTAAATGGATGAAATTCACTTATTCTTCGGCCTTTGATTCAGGTCGTCGTGTTCATGGCCTCCTAACAGTGTCCTTTAGTTCCTAAATTTAGTTAGTCTAATCTTCACCAGTGTTAACCAATTTCACATGATTCTTTTAACATTTTACAGGATATGGTTAGAAATCTGGAGTGCTTCGTTACTTTTAAGCATGACTAAGTGAGACTATAGCAAAATAATATTCATAGGTCACTAGATGAATGTTAAATAGAATTTAACTTTCCAATAGCTTTTAGTTCATGATGTTAGGCTTTTTTTTTTTTAAATAAATAAAATGATATTTTGTTTTCATATCAACACCGAAACTCATCTCGTCAAAAAAAAAAAATCCAAATAAATTTTTAGTATTTAATTTCTAGATTGTTAAAATCCCACACAACCATTTTTCTAAGAGAAAATTAAGTCATGTATCCCTCTTAATTCACCTATTTAGTTTTATGTCATTTTCTTAGAATTCTGTTGGTTTTAGTTAATAAATAAAATGAGAAATTTTACGCCTTATATCTTATACTATTGAAAGGTGAATACAAATGAGAATGACACCGTATACAATAATGACGTTTCAATCAAAAAGTTATAAAAAGGAAATAAAAATATGAAAACAAGAAGAAAGAAAAACGATATGCTAAATGAATAGCAAAACAACGGAGCAAAACAACTGAAGAAATTAAGACGAAATGAGGTAACAAAGCATTACGAGCAAGTTGCAAAACAAGTTGAATTGGACAAGTGTAATTCTTATAAATGCATTCAAATAAACAAATTAGATCGATCAGTTATAAATTGATGACGTTGAATAGAATTTGTTTCTTATTATTAAGGGCTCGTTTAGTTTGCTGATTCAAGTTGAGATGTGAATTTATGTAAAAGCTTTTTACTGTAGCAAAAAGTTAGATATGACTGTTTCTGAGAACTTTTTACTGTAGCAAAATTCAAATTCTAAACTCGAATCGGTGAAATGAGCTGGGCCTAAATTATAGCCTTGTTTGGTTCGCAGTTCAAACCATTACTGTCGTTTGAACGTTTTTAGTTTAAAACATTTCAGTTTGAAAAGTGTGTTTTAACTTGTGGTTTTGTTTTTTTAGTTTTGGCTTCAAACCAGGTGAAACTTAGGGGTAAGTTCAAAAATTCAGGTTATTGTGTCACATCAAGATTCAAACCCACACTTTATTTTTTTACCCTAAACATCATTTTGAACCTAATTGATTGCTTGAAGCCTAAGATTTTAGTTGGAAACTACAATCCAAATAAGACCTATATTTTTCACGATTATTTATGAATAAATCACCAAGCATGAAACGTTAATTACCGCGAGAAAGTGAATCTTCTCATGTTTTTTTTTTTTTTTTTTTTCAATAAAGATATTGTGTTTTGTTATTTGCTATCATGTTCTTTAATTTGATCACCTTTACTCGGCGGACTTTGTTCCACAAGTGCAAAACTATGTCCCTTTGTTCAGCTAGCAAGCTTCCAAATTCTAGATATATAACCAAAATCAATTGAACAACAGTTATGAACCAACACTTTGATCAATTAACGACCAATTTACAGATATCGATAAGAAATAGCCACATACACAAATGATAAAAGAATGAAACCTTTCTAAAAAAACGTATTAGATCCCAAGAGAACCTTTTCAATTCAAACAGAAACGGATTATGATAAAATGACACTAGATGACATGTTCATAAGAGTAAAATTGCAATATAGTAATTTTTCAAAAATATTTTAGATATAGTTAAATTACGTAGCAATTAATACAATGATTCACGTTTTAAGCTATAAAATTTAACAATTAATGATTTAAAATTGTAATTTTTTAAAAATTTTCACTATATTTCACCAAATGACCAGTATGATGCAAAAATTAAGTAGAGAAGACAATTTTACATGCGGTCAGTACGAGTACTCATGAATACCCATCATACGAGTACTCATGAATACCCATCTTGAATATGGCATGTATGGGGCTGGGCTGAGCCAACCTTAGCCTTTAAGTTGG